CCGCCGCCCCCGGGGCGCCGGAGGCACCCGGCAGCGCCGAAGGCGCCGTCGGGCCGCCGGACGCGACACCGGAGCTTCCGCCGCCGCCTCCGGCAGCAGCCAGGCCGTCCTGCGCAATCCCCGCCATCTGGAGGTGCACCGGCAGCAGACGCTCCACAACCTCCCGAACGATAGCCTTCACCTCAGCAGCTCGGTTTACAGCGAATTGGCGCAGGGCCGCCTCCAGCCGGGCACAGCGGTGCAGACCCAGTACTACGGGCAGCAGCCGGTCGTGCAGCTGCTCACGGGCAGCCGCCAGCTCCGCCGCCAGCAGGGATGACGACCCGGCGGAGCGGAGGGAGGCCTCTCGGGACATGACGGTGGCTTCGGAGCCAGAGACCGAGGAGGAGGTGAGGGGACCGCCTGTGATACCGTTGCTGTCGGAGGGACTGAGAGCCAGGGGCGCCGCCGCAGCCGCCAGACCGAGCTCCTGTGCGGACTGCACGGTGAGCGGGGTTGGGCACGTGGGATGATAGGTGGCGGGAGGCCGGCGGGAATGAAATTGTAAGCATGAAAGGAGACGCTGGCGCTGGGGATTAGAGGCGACGGTTTGCATGACATAGGGGACTAACGAGACCTCTCTTGGTTTTCTGTATAACAAATTACATAGGGCAGCGGCACAGAAACTGCCGCTGCCGCCGCCACCATACCTCCCCTGACAGCCAGCTCCCAGTGGCACGTCCATGAACACGAAGAGGCGGATTGCGACAGCCTGCCCGCTCGTCTCCCCCTCCCCGCCCAACCTAAGTCAGTCCACACGTCGCGAGACCCCCCTCCACCCCTCCGGCCCCACAACCCCCCGCCCCCTTCCTCGGGCACCTCACCTCCGCTACCGCCCTCTCCAGCACCAGGTGCGCCTCCGTGTACATGGCCGCCCCCAGCATCTCCGCCTGCAACAGGGACTCCACCACGAGGCGGCTCTCCGCCAGCTGGGGGGGCAGACCACGGAAGGCCGCAACACCCGAGGAGGACAAACCCGTGGCGGCGTGGCTGAGGTTATCTAACAGCTCTAGAGCACCTGCGGGGATCCGGAAAAAAAGGGGAAGGAGGAGGACAGCGGACTCGCACATGAGATTGCTCTCATGTCAACTACGACCCAAGGGGGAGCCGGTCCCTCGTTCCGTACGAAGATGGTGCCTATCCGAGACGAAGATGGCGGAACCGTATGTAAGGAGCCAAAGGTCAAGTGGCAGAGGAGGGGGACGGACGAGAGTGAAGAGGAAGAAGAAGGCGGCAAGAAGGATGAGGAGGAGGGTGGCACGCTGTTTCTCATTTAGCCTCTCTCTGCGCCTCTCCTTTCCTCGTGTGCACACCACTTGGGCTCCTCTCCCTTTCGGCCCTTCTCCTCCCTCTGTCACAAAGCGCATACATACATACATACATACATACATACATACATACATACATACATACATACATACATACATACATACATATGTATGGATGAGACCAAGCTTGACTAAGCTGCTACTATGACCGTCGGCCAACCGCGGCCGTGGCCACCGACAGCGACCTCAATTGTTTGAGCGTAGTTATGGTTATCTAATTAGCCTGAAAATGTCGCAGAGGCGACCAGCAGTGGCTGTTAGCCGCGGCAATGTTCAAAATGGCCGCCAGCCGACCTCAGCCGCGAGACCGCAATCCATACCGACCAAAAAGATAAAGGCCGTCAGTGGCTTTTACGGAACAAATGAAGGCTTGGCTTTCTACAGAGCCACACTAGAACTGGAACCGATCGTGGTGACAGTCCGGTGGCCAGCGGGCTCAGATACGGGCGACATCATCGCGCAAATATACGGTCCATTAGGACTTCAAATTCTGGCAACAATTGGCCAAATCTTCCGCAGCAACCAGGAGTTCAACCGTTGNGGGAGGCCCTCG